TAGTTTTTGCTTGGTTGTTACACTCATTTATATTTGCACTTTGATTTATTGTGTTGTTTTGGATTGTTGGCATATCCATATTTGCTAACATAATTGTGCTATTACTATTGTTGTTATTTGTAGTATGTTGATTGTTGTTATCATTTTCCATTTCTGTCATGATGTTATCAAAACTGGTTTGAACTGATTTTGTTTTGTTGTTGTTGTTTTGGAGTGATGTTATCTTTGTTTTTGCCAGAGGTATGCTGGTTTCACCAATTTTTGCTCTTTTGTAAAGTAAAGCTATATCAGAATGAGGTTTTTTTGCCTTTGTACTAAAATGTACTGTATTTATTTTGTTCTTTCTTTTATTTATATTGTTGCTATTGTTGTTAGTTTTGCTTCTGATATTGTAGCCTTCTATCTTGAGCTTTTGTTCTGTCTCGAATATAAATTTAAAGGTTGGCCCAAAGGCCACCTGTTGCTTTGGTGTTTTGTTTGTTATTGATGTCACTTCTCTTTTGTGCTTTATTTTAATTTATATTAAACTGTACTATGCTCTGTAATGTATTGTAGTTACCTTTGTCTATATATAATTATGTTATTTATTCGAACTTTTGTTGTTTTTTTATTTTTGCTTATAATTTTGAGATTTTCGAGAAAAAGTTAATATAGCAAGTAGTTGTTAGTTTTTCATTAATTTTTATTTCTGTTTACTGAAATATAGACTGATTTCACCTTTACTGCTTTTAGTTGTTTTAATAACAGTACCTCTATTGCTGTTGTTGAAATATTTTTAATTATTGCCTTATGTGATGCTTTACTTTCTAAAATCTCTCTTGCAAAAGTACCTGAAATGACTCTGCACATTTTGCCTTCTTCAAAATGCACTGATCATGTCTGATCAAGTATCACTTTTTTGTTCTTATTTTTAAACTCAATAGCAAATGTTGCTGCTTTACTATTACTACAACTTTTCTACTGAATAAACCTAATTCTATCATAAAACTGAAGACATTTTCTTATACATGCTGGTTTCACTTCTACTAGAATGTTCTATATTATATAGACATTATCTTCTAACCTGCTATCTTCATAAATTTTCATTATCTTATTCAAATTACTTCATTCTTTTGTTTGTTCTTTCTGCATTTGTTCACTGTTTATAGTTACTTTAGGTTTTCTTTCTTTTTTATGATCAACTTCTTCTTTGTCTGTCATATACTTCTCATTTATCTTTATATCACTAGCTGTATTCTTTTGCTAATTATTTTCTTCTATCTTACTTTCTTTCTCTTCTTTATTTTTCTTTATTGAACTTTTCTTTGTTTGCTTTTCTAATATACTGTAATCCATGCACTTATACTCTTGCTCTAGCAAAATCTTTTTATTTATTTTGTCTTTATTTAATTGCTCTACATTATTCTTCTTTGGTTTCTCACTGTTTCTTACTTGTACATACTTATAGTAATTATATACTTCAATTAAGTTTCTAAACATACTAACTAATACTGCTTTAGTGTCAACTAGTCTTGCTAATTTTTCATCTTTTCTTAAAACTCTTAATTTATGATTGTCTAATAATTCTCTTTGTACTTTATCAGATTTATTAAACATATTATGATACTTTTCTAATTTTTTACACTAGTCGATTTCTGTAAATACTGATTGAACTTTTTGTATTATACTTTTTTGCATAATTTCTATCTCTTTACTGTATATACTCAATACATGTTTTACTATTTATATCTATGTTTATTTGTTTTTCTGCAAGATTGCATATTTGTTTATTTGTTTTGTTGTGTTTACTATTTACTCTAACTTGTATTATGCATCATGTGTATGATCTGCAATATAGAGTTTCTGTGTTTTTTTTTTTTTTTTAACAAAAATTTTTGAAAAAGAGCAAAATTTCCTTTAAATATCAAAAGTGCCTACTATATTGCTATCAACTTGGTCTACTATTTTAACAAACTATATTTAATTTCTTACAAGCTTTAACTTTACTTAGTTGACAACTATACATTTATTTGCTGGCTTTTGTGATTTCTATGATTTTTTTTCTATTCTAATTTTGGTTGTGAGAATCTGCAGAGAGAGTTTATATTTTAGAATAAATTATTGGTATACAAAAAGAAAAAATAAGATTTTTTAAAGAAGAGTTAAATAATATGATTAAAGTTTTTACAAAAAAAAATCTTAAAACTAAAAAGAATTGTTTATAAACTTAAAGAAGAAAATAAAAAGAAAGATAAAGAAATTTCAAATAAGAATGAATTAATAACAGAATTTAATGAAAGAAAGACAAAAATAAAAACAGAATATGAGAAATATCTAAATTAACTGAAAATACACCTAAAGTATAAGATTATACAATGAGATTAGTAGATAAAAATAAGCATTTTAAATAGGAAATAAATACAGTAAAAACTAATTAAATAAATAGAATTAAAAAATAACTTAGCAAAAAAATCATATTACAGACCTGTTTTGACAAAATTTTGCATTATTATTATTAAGATATCAAGATAAATTAGAGCTTATAAATAACATAAAGGCTTTGCAAAATGCACAAACTTAGAATTCTAATAAAAATAAATCTGATTCTGATAAAAATTCTTTAGATATTTATAATTTTGATCAAAATTTAGATATGAGTACTATAGCTAAATTGGCCAATGCAATAGACTGATTTTAGATGATACAACATATAGAACTATTATAAAAATTTAAATTAAAAAAGCAACAAGGTTAATCTAATATAAATATGCTAACTTGCAACAAGATCTAATAAATAAATGATGAAATTATGATATATACAGGTAGTAGTAAGATTAGATATTGCAAAAGTGAGATTAGTTACAAACTAATGCTTAGAATTAAGTAAACTGAATGTTAGATAATATAGCAAAAAAACAAAATTATATTTGTAAATTATTATAAGAAAAATTTGGCTTACAAATCTTATATCAACAAAATATCTACTACCTATAGCAATATAAAGCAGATATAAAGCTATTGGAATATAATCGAGACAAGCTCTATAAATGATATAAAAAATAACAAAATAAAACCCAAACAGAGTATCAAAATAATTTAAATTTGCAAGCACAAATTTTAGCACTATATAATAATCTACCAAATTAAATAAACATGACTGATGCTAGACATTTATCAATATTAAAATTAATGGCTTCTGCTCTTGCAAACTTTAATTCTATATAGGGCAAGAACTATCTGATAAATACTTAGATAAGATTATTCAGTTATAGACATATCTTAAAGGGCATATGATAGTTCTTGAAAATGCAAATATAAGGAATTTTAACAATGCAGTCAAATGTAATATTTTAAAATTTATAATAAACAGAAAATATGCTCCAGTACTAGCAAATAATAATCTTGTAGCAGAAAATCCAGCTATAAATACTCCAGATATATTATGAGCTTGGTTAAGAACAAAATACTAACAGAAAACAGTTGGAAATCAGCAATCAGCTATTCAAAAATTAACTTAAAGAAAATATTAGCCTTATGATACCTATAAAGCTAGAATTCAACCACTATTATTAAAAGTAGCTAACAATAATATGCAAATTATAGGATTTTTTAAAAGTTACTTAACAGATAATTTTTACACTTGGATAAGAATAGCCAATCTAGTAGATATTAATACATTTTTTACCAAGCTAAAAAATATGTAGCTAGAGTGCACATTAATTTTGAATAAAGGCCAAGTTTTTCAACAATCTTCCTATAACTCTAAAACAATAAAAGCTTCTGTAATTCTACAATTGGTATTTCTTACATCTGATATATAAAAAATAATTGATGAAATATTAGCAAAACAGAAAGCCAATTATGATGAAGTATTAGCAAAACAGAAAGCCAATTATCATATTAAGATAAAAAAATTAAAAAAGGACTTTTAACTCCAAAACATACAGAAAATGCAGACAATAGCTTTACAAACTGTTAAACTGATTAGATAGCTAAGAGGTTCTTTATTATCATTACAATTAGAAAAAAATCTTCAGAATTATTATATATCTAAATTTTTAAAAGAAATAAGTTTATATAGTAAGAATAAATTAGATTCAGATTATTCTGTAAAGTTTTTTTAAAGACCTTGCTTACAACAAAGTTAGCAATAAAAGCAATTTGAGAGAATAGACAGAATAGAATTGAAAATAGATAAAATTGGTCAAATAACATTTTAATTCAGAAGGATGATGCTTGATAATCAATTTAAAAAATCTGTAGCTAAATTAAATTTAACACATTAATACTTTCTTTTCTAATATCTTTTCAATCCCAATATGCATCTCTTAATTCAAATGATATTGAAGATGGTGAAGGTAAATATAACAAGAAAGATAATAAATGGCATGCTTTATCTTAGTTAAAAAAAAAACAGGTATTATCAGTAGATAATAAGTCATATATTAATACACAAAGTGCATTTACTACAAAAGATATAATACCAAAAACTTATAATTAACTAATGAATTCATTATCATCAACAATGTAAAGAATATATAAATCTAACCAGTCTCATAAAGTTCAGAAAGAAACCAATGAGTGGTTTTCATCAATACAGTATTTGCATAGCAATATATATGATTTAATGATCTCTAATAGTTTTTTAGATCTGGCTAATAAATTCAATACTATTAATAATACAACTATTGAAGCATTTGAGTAAGAAAATAATAAACAATCTGATTTTGTTATAAAGAGTAACAATTCAAAACATATTACTGAATTATTAGAATAGATTATAGAAGTTCCAATTTCTATAAAAGATATGACAAAAAAACAGTTACAGTTTTAGAGAATTTTGCATATATTAATAATAGTAAGCATGTCTGGGTATAACATAAATTTGAAAAGTTTAAGATATTATTAATCTGAATAAAAATTAATTTTAAATAAAGTTATATAAGAAGACTTATACTATTTCAACATATAGCAAGGCCTCAGAAGCTAAAAGACTCAAAAAAGAAGCTAAAGATAGTCTTTCAGGAATCTTCTCTGTCCAAGTATCTACCAATTTCTTTAGTCTAACTAATAAGAATAATTTTAAAAAAAGTGTATAAATTGTATAGATTATAAAAATATGACAATTCATATAAAAGAGTTGAAAAGCATTTTTTCTAGCATTCAATTGAATTTGGAAATCATAGAATACTATAATATTTTGCTTGACTAATATAAAAAGATTTTTCTAGAACAAGGAAAGTTAAATAATTATTTAAAAACAAAAGCATGATTAGATGCTCTAATTTTCTCTATTTCAGAACTAGTTCTCTTATACAAATTTAAGACATCTTTAGAAAATTCAGTAAATAAATTAGAATTATAAACACAAACAGTTTTGGTTTTTAATTTTTTTCCTTCAGTCATTTTATCTTATTATCTAAAACAATATTCTCTTTCAAAGCTAAATCAGTAGATTTGCTAATTTTAGTATTATGTATTTTGTTTTTCAGTATTGTAAAGGCAGAATCAAATTTATTAGCATTATGATTAGAATCTTTACTTAAGCTAGTTACAGTAGTAGCTGATCATAATGTCTCTTTTCTAAAATCTATTAGTAGATGATTTTCTTTTCATATTTAATATACATGTCTTGTTAATATTTTGTATTTGCTTGTTATAGCTTTTAATGCACATTTTATCAAATTTCTAGCATTAATAATATCTTGTATATTATTATTAGATAAAGAAATTGCATTAAATTGCAGATATTAAACTTTTTTTCCGAATTTCTGCTTTCTTGCAATACTTGCTCAAAGCTACTCATAGTTAATAAATTCTTAAAAATATTGGTTATTATATATATTTTTTTTGAGCTTGTAAAAAAATAATTCAAAAAAAAATCAATACTGTTTTGATATATATTTGATTCTTGTTCAGTGTTTTTGAACTATTCAGTTAATATCTAATTTTATTTTAGTAATTCTGAACTATTTGATAAAAATTTAATTTAGATATATTGGTTAATATCTAATTCTTATTTATTTCACTATTTTTTTTAATTAGTATTTGATTAATATCTTCAGTTAAAATTTGATAAGTATAATTATAAGCAATGCAATAAAACTTATAATATCTTATAATTCAATAAAAAGCTGAATATTGTAAGATTTAATCTGAAAATATAAAGGTATTGTATTAAATAATTTCTTATTTTTATTGAGCACTGTGTTATTTATTAGCAAATCAGTATTTAAATCAATAAGGGTTTCAGTTATAAGATTTTTTTTTCTTACTATTAAATTTTCAGTTATTTATGTTTGATTTGAAGAAAATGTATTTTGTATAAGATCAATAAAATGTTTCTGTCCTCTTCATATTTGATAAATATGCTTTAATAATATTTTATATTTACTCATTAACTTATTTAAAATTTTATATCTTAGTTTTATATTATAACACTGCATAATATAAGAATAATTCTTAGAAAAAAACAGAGGTGTATTAGATTTTAAATATTTAGTCATAGTTCTACTATATATGTAATAATTGGTAGTTTGTAATTTATAAGTATTATTAATATTAGTTATCTGCTATTTAATTTATTTTTAGCTATTTTAATAAAAAATTTCACTCATAATTTTTTTTATATACTAATAACTAAGCTGGAAAAAAACTATATCCAATATGTATATCTTAAAAAATATTAAGAATAAAAGAGTCCTAAAAGGGTTAGGTTATTGGCTTGATAGCATCCATGAATCAGAGCTTGAAAAAGCATTGCACAGTAGTATCAAAACTGCTTCTAATATTGCTAATAAATATAAAGACCTATAGGATGTATATTTAAAGCAAAAAAAAAATTTTAAACTAGTTCAAGCTAATACTAAAAAAAGGATTAGTTAGCTAAATGTATCTAATACTAGACTTAAATCTTCTAAATGGTCATTCTATACTGAGCATGAAGCAGAGTAAGCCAATTATTCTGCTAAAATCCAATTGCTCAAATCTGAGATTAAAACATTAAAAAAAAAAGCAACTCTTACCAAAAAGCTTCATCTCTTGACAAGTATGAGATTCTTTATTTTAAAAATGAAATAGATAAACTGAAAGCTGAAGTAAATAAATTAAAATCCAAGATGAAACTAAAATGCACATTTTATAATTCAGATACTACTTCTTTTAGAAATAAAATAAGTAAATTAAATTTCTTTAATCATACATTAAAGTAAAAATGAAATGATTTAAATTCAAAGAAACATGAATTGAAAGCCAAAGTGGAGTGTAAGGATTCTGAAATTACCTTTCTTGGAATTAAAGTAATAAACTAGAGAAAGTAGCAGGAAAAGTATTATATAGTTATAGGTTAATTAGCTGTCTCAAATCTAGGATGAAGGAATTGGAAAATCAGTTAGAACAACAAATATACTAGTTATCTTATAAATTAAATATAATAAATAGAGCTAAAAAGAATCCAAACTTAGCTGAGTCTTTCCTTCAAGAGACTAATACTTATTTAGCAAAGCAGGTTTTAAAAGCATCTAGTAAAACTAATAAAGTAATTGAAGGCATCTCCTTTTTTTCTTCACATTACTCAAAGCTTAAACCTGATGAAAGCAAAGTAAAAAATGTAATAAAGCTCCTAATAGACCATGCATGCAATAAGCAGAAAAAAAAACTTGATAGTATTTCAGTCTTATCTATTGCTATATTAGAAGTTGCCAATGCTTTACTTAATAATCAGTATAAAAATTTGTCTATATTCAAGCTTATTATTTTAGCCTTAGTAATAATATGTTTTTTTTTTTTTTATTATTAAAGGCTATACTTGTAATGTTACTTTATTGATTTTTATTGGGTTAGCTATTATAACTATTTTTACAGAAATAAGAGTACAACTAGTCATATATGCAACTTTTGGTTGCTATTTAAGTAGTCTATCTTAGGATTTTACATTAGATGTTGTACCTATAACCTACTAGAAGATTATCTATTTAAACCTTCTAATTATCTGCTTTGTTATGATATAACCTCAACTTACTTCCTATATATATTTTATCAGTATATCATTTAAGCAGTATGGTATCTAATCTTTTTGTACTGGTTTTAGACTATTACATATTTCAGAATATGTCACCTATCAGTAAGACACAAAGGGCCTTCTGATGTTAACTATCTACTTACTTTTATAATACTAACAAAAGCTATCCTTATAAAGTTTATCTAGATCTTGGCACTAACTTCATAGCATATCCCTAGTACTTTTAGTATATTCCTGCTTTGATCTTAGACTTCTAATTCAGATAGCCCAGAAGGACTGTGTGACCTGCCTTTAGTATATTAAGGCTAGCTTAATATCCTTTTTCTTTGGTCAAAAATTTGGTGGTCTGGTTGATGATACCCTTATCTGAGGTTCTTGTTCACACAATTCCTCTACATTGGTATCTATTTCCTAGATCTAGTCTTTATAGTAGTACTATTAAAAATCTGTATTACCTCTTTGTTTGGAATTTCCAAATAAGCTTCAGTTTCTTAGTTCTACAGATTTACATGACTCAAGAACTTATTTTAGGTTTGCATTATCTAGTATCAGTTTGCATTCCTCTATATAACCAAGATTATACAAATGCTCCAACTTGCCAGTCATGCTAATGCAACTATAGTTACAGATATCCTATTCTAACTGATTAACAGAATGCTATTACTGTAATACTGTCTATATATTACATAGGTGATTATCTAAATTTTATTGTCAATAGATTTTGAACTTACAATCTACTACTTTGGAGTATAACAACTTATCCACTTCACTAAGTTACCACACTCTTAGTAGTAATATTAATTATATGGTATATATATAGATGAATTTTTTATTCAATTAAAAAGGAAAAAATTTTTTATCCAGTTTATAAAAATCAAAGTTATAGATTCTTAATCTGTTATGCAGAAGAATCAAAAGGCAGAACTACCTCTTATAAAACTTTATTTTATAGATATGGATGAGGTTATGAAGCAAGCATCATCATATTGTAAAAGTCATAAATATTTACTAAAATGAGCATTCAGAATGTTAATAACAGAAAATAATAGTACAGATAAGTCAAACTTAGCTATAAAACTTGTTTCTGCAGATAAAAATGAACATATATATAAAAATATAAAAAAAGATTCAGATATATATAATATAATAATTTGATAGTTTGTAGTTAACATCCTAATGAGCCAAAGTAAACATATATTAGATATTTGTATAGAATAATTTTAAAAAACTCTTAAGAGTCTTTTTATGAAAATATATAGTTTAAATATATTTCTTCTAAAAATTACCTAAAGTAGAATCATTCTTATCAGAAAGAAGTACACTAATTATTTTTGAGAATTTATGTTTAGCTTCTGAAAATATACAAAATAAAATTGCTAATTTTTTGAAAATAAATATTATCAAAATATTTTATATATATATATAACATAGAAATATCACAAAATTCCTATATTTATTTATAAAAATCTTACTTACTTAGTATTATTTAGTAGGAGCAGTAGTTATTAAGATGTTGCAAAAATTGTTAGATAATATACAAATGATATTAAAAATGCATTAATGGTTATTAATAATTATTTATATAAGAAAAAATTTATTGTATTTGATTTAAATAAACCTGAAGATGATCTATTAGCAATTTAGCTAAGATTTGATACTTCATTGAACTTGCAAAAGAAAATAGAGATGAGACAAAAGCAAAAGAAAAAAATATTTCAGCTAATTTATAATTTCAATAATAGCTTCACTATTTTTCTAATATTATTCTTGAAATCACAATTAAGTAATATATTTTTTATATTAGTATTTATTTATCTAATTCTTAATATAGGTAAAAGACACCAATATGAATAAAAATTTATAAGTGTATATTAACAATTACTTACTTTTTTTGTTTTTGGCTATGTACAAATTTGAATTATAATATGGAGAAAAGTTAATAGAAAAGAGACAAATTTTTTCTAAATAAAAGTTTTTTTGACTTTAAGCTTAAATATCTCAACAACTATTTTATTAAATTTGATAAT